CCAACAGCACAATCTTGTTTATATGCAGATATTAAACAAGTTGTTAAAGCTAAAACAACCAAATTAATTTTTTATCTTGATTTTTCCAGTTTATAAATAACTCACCAATTAAATACGTGACAAAAAGGGCTTTCGCCATTATGCCACAGATAATATAAATAAAAATGAAATCTGAAAGTAATTAAACTGAATGATTAGATTCTATTAGTAATCATTATACTGTCGAATAGTATCTATGATGTTTTTTTAAATGATCGATCGTCTACCTACACGTTGCTCCTATTAGTTCTTTATCTTTGTTTACATCGTGAAATACGCAGTTATATACTTGCGCAAGGTAGAGAACAACAAATCAGACGATGTCAGCGAGAATAATATAAATATATAAACACGATATGTATAAAGAAAACATCAAAGAAAGGAAAAATCGAGAGGAGTGTTATATAATCATTTCGTATCACGTGTTTTATTGACTTTCATTCTTTGACAAAAAAAATAAAAAAACCGGACAAACGTATTGCAGTAAAAAAAAATAGACGACCATAAAAAAATTGATTGACTATTACATATTATTAAAAAAAAACAATTTATTGCACCATTAATTGAAAAGCACTTTATTTTTCACAAATGCCAATTGCTTGACAAACAACTTTTGGATCACCGTATTCTACTAAAAATTTAATTAAATCAGCACCATAAAGATGGACTAGAGTTTTACATTCTGATTGTAATGTTTTTACATGTAAAATTTTACAAGCATCATCTAAAGCGTGTTCGAATCTTGTTTCAGTTGAATTTGATTGAATAATAGCATCAAGATAATTAACAAGATATTGACATAAATTGCATGGTAATGATTTTAATTTATTAGATTTGATTGTTGGGATTTGAATAAATTTATTATCGGATTTTGGACATAAACCTAACCATTTACAAATTTCATTTGGATCATCAAGTTCAGCAACAAGTTCAACTACGATAGGTCCATATTGATGAACAAGTTTGTCGCATGTTTCACGATCTGCTGCTGGTAAAATTCCACAAACGAGTTCTAATGCTTTTTCAAGTTCTTGTTCTGTAGCATTGCTTTTTACAAGAAGATTGATATAACTTAGAATATATTTGCATAAAACACATTCATCTCCTTTTTTTACTTTTTTTATTGATTGTATAATATTTTCT